TTCTTTATCTCTTCATTTGATGTTCTAGGGTTTCAGGATTGTTGATTCTCTGTTTGGCTTAGTTTTTCGGATCTTTGTTGTGGAGGGACGGCGCGGTGCTTCTGCCTAGAGCGCCATCTTGCTGAGTCTCCCCCACAAAGGTTTCTTGGAGTCAGCAAACTTCATTCAATTAGCTGACTTTGAACACTTCCAAGACTAAATCCCTACTTGTAAAAATGGGATTATAACCATATTTGTATTTTATAATGCTGTTACAGGATTAAACGAGATAATGCTAGGATGCTTGCAAATAGTAAGAACAGAATTAATTATGATTATTTTTGTTGTTGCTACTGGCTGTTGTGTGGGTTAAAAAGCCATCATTCTAAACCCTAATTCTTAGGAAATAATACTCTAAAAAAAGTGAAGACACAGGAGAATTGAGAAAACGTCTCCTAATGGTGAAATGTCTGAATAAATATTGTCTACAAATGATATTCCACTTAATGATTAGCTTTGGATTAGTAAATTGATTTCTAGTCAATAAAGGTTTTAATGGGCAGTGTTTATCACCCAAATACGGGTTTCTTATGGGTCACGTAGGTCTATTTCTGTTTCTCAAATATCAGGTATAGCTGTTGAAGAACAAATATAAATTAGATCTGGCCTCTTGGATCTAGATGTGCTTGATACTTTTTTCTTGTTTACAAACTTCTTGAGAAATTTCAGGAAGGTATCTTGTAAAACTTCTTCCAAGGACATTTTTCACATTACCAAACAGTTATTCATACATGAGGTTTACATTAAAAACTACTTGAAATGACAGTTATTTCTAGGGAACTGGACTTAGTAACATATCTCACCTACATATCTAAGGTGACAGAGATGTGAGGCAGCACTAAAATGAATGACTGCATTGGGAATATTTAAAGAAAATCTAATGATGATATGGAAGCAGCTTTAAATTGTTCTGTGGATACTTACTGAAGGTACACTTTGCTTTCGGAGACCAGCTGGGAAGAGAGGAAATTCCTTTCTTCAGTGAGCAAGAGTCCATGCTGTACTAAGTGCTACTAGACTTTCCATTTCATTACTGACTTTATTTTAAACAGTTCTGAAAACCCTATGTAAAGCCTTATGTAAGAAGAGAGAAAAAAAGTCAGTTCTGAAACAAGAAGTCCAGTAGTAGTCAGAATACAGGGGCAATTTTAAGCTTAACTTTTCAACACTAAGCAAGCAAATACCTGAAAAAATTCCAGACAATGCTAAAATGTGTACCAGCCCATATAAGGTAAGTTTCAAGAAATTTATATAAGGCTGACATATTATCTTTAAGAATTATGGTTGGAGATTTATACATATATATGTGCACATATGTATATATATTTAAATCTTTTGACTCAAGAATGTAGGTGAATGTACCTGCTATAATCCAAAAGAAATTTCAAATAGGAAATTCAAAAGAACTTAATGCTGCAGTAACAAAATGAAAGCTTTAGTCTCCAGGGTAAGTATGAAACTGACCTGTGCAGATCTCTCCCTGTGATCTCACTGCTTCAAGAAAAATCACCCAAGAGGACATCACCTTCAATAGTAGGGGGCAGGGAAAAAGTCATTGACTTTGAATTGAAGAGACCTTGAGTTTTACTCACAGTACTGCTACTGATGCCAGAGTGACCTCACTGTATTATAATCAAGGACATCCAGAGCCCACAGGAGCCACAGAGATCATTCAGTCACAACCCACACCTCTCAGATTAGGAAATAGGATAAGATTTTTGTTATGTGTTCAAAACAAATCATGTAGAAGATTGTGAATTTTGTTTTTAAAGGTACAGTGCATAAAGCAGAGAGTAGAGTACAGGGATAAGGGAATGAGCTTTCAAGACAAACAAACCTGGACGGGTCTAACTCTGCCACGTTAGCTGACTGGCTTGGGAAAGTGGCCTAACCTTGCTAAGCCCTGGTTTTCCTCATCTATGAAATGGAAATCAAAGAAGTTAACTTATAGTTATAACACAAACAACAGCACAGTTATTAATATTACTACTATTACCGTTACAGTAGTAGTAGTATTAGAAAAAGCCCCTGAGTGATGCAAAAGGTTGACATGCTCAGCTGCTAACTCAAAGGTTGGCAGTTCAAGTCCACCCAGAGGTGTCTCGGAAGAAAGGCCTGGTGACCTACTTATGAAAAATCAGCCACTGAAAACCCTACGGAGCACAGTTCTACCCTGACACATAGGGGGCCACCATGAGTCAGAATCGACTCAATAGCAACTGGTTTTATAGTGAAAGAACCCTGGAGTTAGAGTCCAAGAGGTAATTCCAAGCCTCAGCTGTGCCACTTGCTGGCTTTGTAACCTCGACAAAGTCCTCCTTTATTTCATCTGTCAAGTAGGGGACAGAATTAGACGATCTGTAAGGTCTCTTTCCAACTATAACATTTCCCCCCAGTTATAACATTTTATGATGATCATACACAAAGAGCAAGACAAGCTAACAAAATTAATGCACCTAATTCAGGATCCTCAACTATTTAGAAGTTTAAATTATATAAGTGATATTTTAAATCTTTAACCTAATATTAATTAAGCAGGCTTTCCAAAATCAGTGACTAAGTTGAAAATGGCATGCACATATTCACTTGTTCATTCATTCACCTATTATAAACTTTTCACTGTGCAAGGCACTGGAAATAACCAAAATGTTTAATTAAGCAAGGTACCTATCCTCAAGAAGTTCCGATTCTAGTGGTAGACAGATTCAAATAAATCATTACACTCAGGTACACCAAGAGTACTAACAGAGAGGAATCCACAAGTTGCTATGAGAGCAGAGAACAGGTCCACAACCACACCTAGAGACTAGCTCTTAAGAAAAATTTCCTGAAAGGTGATGCCTACACCAAGTCCTGCTAAGGTCTGCGTGGGTAGAAAGTTTCGGCCATATAAGAATTCAAAGACCTGGAACAGTAGAGTTACCTCTTTATTTTGTACAAACCTATTTCTCTTCAATTAGCAGAGATCAAAATTGAGAAATAAAGTGGTTTCCCTATGTCAGTATCTTACCAGCAAAAGGTCTGATATTAAACTATTTAATATTTTTAAAGTATAGCTATCTCTGAGTGCACCCTACGGAAAAATTTTAAAATTCAAAATGAAACTTTAACTTTGAAATGTATAGCAGAAGTCGTTCTTAAAAACTGCCTTCAAGTACGTAAAACACCTTAGAGAGGTTTGCAACCACCACAGTATAGATGTGAAAAAAAAAAGAGAATGAAGACTTGGGCTTAAGCTGCAGCACAGACCCCAGGAAGATATAAGGAAAAATTCTGCACAATGGCTGTCAAATACTAGGTAAGCTAAAAAGGGAAGCTGCAGGATATTTTTCTTAGGTATGACTTATTTTTAACTTTCTACAGTGGAAAAAATGTTAAAATACACAAAAGTTAAGAGAATGACATAATGAGCCCTCATGTACTTATCATCCAGCTTTGATATACCCCATCTCCTACTTTTTTTTCTGGAGTATTTTAAAGCAAAACCCAGAAAACTTTTTATTTTTTGGTAAAAACATTAGTGTGCATCTCTAACTGGTAACATCTTAAAAAAAAAAAAAAAAAAACCAATAAAGTTATGATATCATTATTGCATAATGCCTATAAATTCTTTGACACACCTCCTTTCAAGAGATGGAGCTTAATTCTCCTCTTGAATACGGGCTGGATTTAATGACTCACTTCTAATGAACAGAATATGATGGATGTGACAGTTTGTGACTTCCAAGAGTAGGTCATAAAAAGCACTGACTCTTCCTCCTTGCTAATCCTCCTCTTGGATCACTCACTCTGGGGGAAGTCAGCTGTCATGTTGGAAGGACACTCCAGGAGCTCTAGGAGAGGCCCACGTGGCAAGAACCTGAGGCCTTCTGCAGACAATCATGAGGGAGCCATCTTGGAAGCAGATCCTACAACCCCAATAAATCTTCAGATCATTGATGGTCTTTCCCTAGATTCATTAATTCATTAGAGGTTGTACAATGGTTTTCCGGTTCCATCATTCCTTCTGTGTTTAGTAGCTGTGATTCTTTTACAGTGAAGTACTTTCCATCATCACCTCTTTGGTTGACCAGAAATTATATTTCATACAGAAAAGGCAGGATAAATGTTCAATTCTTTTATTTATCAGTTTTCAGAATAATAAATTGGTACTCCAATAACCTCTAAGGCATCTGGTAAGTTTTTTAAAGTTTAAGAATCAATTCGAGCTGAAAAATGTTTACGTATTCATGTGCTCTACCTACTGCAATAATTATTCTTTCTTCATGCTCTAAACAGCCCCATCTTTGGCCGCTGAAAGCCCCAACAACTGGGCTCCTTGTATCCTTTTAAAAAACACTAGTAATCTTATATAGCTTCTTTGCTTTCAGACAAGATGTGCTAGGATCATCTTGTACATTTCTTGTCCTGGATCTGGAATCAGCCATGTTTCCTTTAAGAGGAAAATGGTATTTAGAGATCACACCTGGATGCTGGGGGGTGTTCACTACTAGTGATTTGTTACTGCTTTTAGACTTTCCAAGGGATTGTTGGTAGGTGTCACTGAGTCAATTTCGACTCACAGAGACCCCATGTGACAGGGTAGAACTGCCCCATAGGGTTTTCTAGGCTGTAATCTTTAGGGGAGTAGATCGCCAGATCTTTCTCCCATGGAACTGCTGGGTGGGTCTGAACTGCCAACCTCATGGTTAGCAGCCGAGCGCTTAATTGTTGCATCACCAAGGCTCCTTTTCCAGGGGACAGAGCTAGGAAATATGTACTGTTTTAGAAACAGAACACTAAATCATAATTTTGTACTGTACTTCCAAATTAAATAAAAAATTAGAGGGTTTTTACTTAAAATACTTGATTTTATATTTGTATCTACTCTTCCATTTAAAATACTGGTTCCTTTGACATTAACATAATTACTTATGAGATATACATGTATTTTTTCAAAATAATAACTTTATAATTACTAACAATAAAACCACTGAACACAGTATAAAATTTCCTTGTGAGTTTTTTTTTTTTTTGTCCTTAGCATATACCCTATAGTGGAAATTCTGTGTTTTAAAGTCATTTAAAATTATTATCTTTCATGTGTTTGCCCCATTAATCAAAATACAATTAAGTTTTTTTCTTTCAATTTATTTTCAATGGTTATGGATTGCTTTTTACTTGTATTTTTAAATTGTTTACAATATTCACATGGTTCCAACACCAAAATTATAAATGAGATTCATTCAGGAACATCTAACTTCCATTGCCGTTCCTTCCCTCCTCCTTAAAGTCATCGGTTTTACTAGTTTTTGGTTCATTGTCGCATTATTTCCTTTTGAATCTCCACACCTTTCCTATACACATTCATCTGCACATTGCTTTGTGCCACACTATATTATGGAGATCATTCTATGGTAATAAATAAAGTGCTTTCTTGTTCCTTTTTACACCTGCATTATATTCCAATGTTGGAAGGATATTTGGGATGTTTCCAGTTTTTGCCTTTAAAGATAATGTCACAATGAACAGTCTTGTATGTACATCATATCATGTGCACTATATCTTTGGGATGCCTGTGGCTGGTCCAAGTGGAAATGCATATATAGTTTTGCCAAATATTACCAAATTCCCCTATATATCTACTGCACCACTTTGCATTCTCACCAGCAAAGTAGGAGAATGCCTGTTTGCCCAAAGCCTAGCCAAATGAGCATGTTATCAAACTTTGGATTTTTGAGTCTGACTTAAATTTGATCTCCCCATGCAGGGCTTTCCAAGATGTCTGTGACATACATTCTAATTCACTGCTGCCAACTCATACACAATATGCTCAGGACAGACTTTCAAATTGTCCTTTAATAAAAATCAATTTTCAGTGTTAAATAATTAATCCATCAAAGAAATACCATAGGGCATTCGGTCTGATATCTTGCCTTTAACAATGAAGGCAACGTTGCAGGTCCTTATCTCTTTGCCTTCATTCCTTGATGAAATGATTCTGTCTCAAGGGCTCAACAGAACTCCAACCTGAGTTCAGTCTCATATCGTCACTAACACACAGTCTGATTCCTCTTAAATGCCTTTTGCAACAACAAAATAATTAATTCTCTGTGTTACCTAGGCTATTATAACTCAGGCAGTTATCTGTGATTCTCTTCTCTATATATCTTCTTTACCTAGGCAATCACCAAGCTTTCCTGCAGACTTCTCATTTAAAGAGTTCTGGCATAAGGCTCCTTTTTTAGCCTCATTTCCACCCTAGTCCACGTTCTCATTATCTAATGCCAGGACTATCAGAATAGTCCCTCACCCAGCCTCCCAGTGTCCATCTAGCCCCGTCTCTCTGCCATGTTTATTATACACTATACATTGTTGGCTTCATGTCACGTCACCACCTCACTCTCTAAGGCCCACAGGCGGCCTACTGAACATTGCCCATAACTATGACTTTTAATTCATGCTTCATGGAGATACTTTGTTGCTGCATCAACAAAGCAGTTCCACTTTTATTTGTTCTACATATTATAGTCCTGCTATCAGATTCCATTGGGGAAAAAAGTATTCTGCTAAAAACAGTACAAAAGCCATAATCTGCCTTTGCTGTGCAAATTCAACCTTTTCTTGCTTCTCTTCATAAATGGAGTCATGTACTCAGGAATATTGTTGAGAAACTAGTATTTGCCATGTACTATAAGTCAATAAAAAAGGCACAGTCTTCTCCACCTTCATAAAATCTACAACTACAAGATAGATTAGCAATGACAATGACGTGCGTTAAACTCTCCCAAGAATTTGTTTTTAACACTCTCCGCTCTTAACATTCCTCCCATTAATAGTCTATTTATTTACATCTTATAATTACATAATTA